TATATATACTTATTATAACTTCAGATTTCATTCCATTTTGTTTTTCATGTTATTGGTCAGTTTTGTTCATCATATGACAATTACAAATCATCAAAACTTTACGGTTTCTAGCTTTGAAAATTGTTTAAATATATCAGAATGTTGTCCCACAATACGAATTGTCAAAGCATCAAGTTAGAAGGTAAAGAGAACAGGACAAACTTCTTGAGAATCATCTGCGACAGATGTGCGAGTTTCCTGAACTGAAGACAGGCGATCAATCTCTCCAACCATCCTTCGAACTGGCGCCAAAATTGAGCTTTTGCTAAATCAAAAGTCAAAAGAAAGCTTTTCCTTCAGGCGGAGTATTTTGACAAATTTTACTTCCGAAACATTGCAAATCAGGTGTTAGGTACCTCAGAAAAGTTCCTAACCCCTGCCACACTCCCGACATAGCCTTTTATCAACATTGTCTTTAATTTACATAAAATCATTGATTTTGTGGCCCGTTGAATACTGGCGCCTTATGCATCAATTTGTCGAGCACAATGGTCTTTGTAGTTGAGTTTGGCTAGAAGGGGACAGGCGTACCGGGATACCTTTTTGAGACCTGTGGTTCCTTTTGATCAATTCTGTCCTGCTCTTTAACTTGGGGCTATGTTCTTTTCGCTTCTCGGAGATCGAGAGTAGGCAGGATTGATAAGCTTCAGATGAACAAAGATAGTTTCATCAAATAGCTTCATAACATGTATTTATCTCATGAACGGCTAACAGCATTTAAATGAATTGAGATTCCCACCTGCCATTCTGACAGCACAGAAAGAGTGATTAAGGGCATGTAAAGATATAATACTAATACTTTAGCTTGTTACGTTTGATATTTCATTTTTTGTTTTCAAATTCACTTACTCAACAGCAAGTAAATGATCTATTTAAATCAGAACAAACTCATGACATGAAATTGGGTGGGGTGGGGAAACCAGATAACCAGATATCCGTTTAAAATATACCACTTAAACAATTTTGGAAGAAACCATTGTGCCAAAAACTTCCCAACAATTATTTTTTTCAATTGTTTTCGACAATCTTTGATTCAGTTGTAGCCACAATATAGCTAAATTGTATTACAAAATACAGATATAAAAATTTAACTAAAATTAATTAAATAATTATTACAACAAAAAATTAATGTTCGTTAGAATACCTATGAAAATTCTCAGACTCTTTTGCATATTCTAAAGAGTTTGTAAGGATTCTTAAACGATCAATAAATAAAGTATGTCACTAGATATATGATCAAATTACATTTTTGATAAAATAAGAAGGTATTGAAATTTTAAGCTGAAGTTTGTAATCGTAATAAGCTTGATAATTGGTGTGAACGCTACTTTGTACACATCACTGTACACGTAGCCAATAACATCTTTGATGAAACATATTAATAACTCATGGAAAGTATATGGCACACTCTGGTAAGATTGCTATTTGATTAAGACATCCATGTTAATTTACTATTTATGTCTAAAAGAAGCAACTCGTCGAGAACTACTAATTCATCGCTATACATTGGGGATGAATTTGGCTGAAAATCTCAGCTCCATTAGAATCTCATTATAGTTTGTATCCCCTAGTGTGTTGTACGCGTCTTAGTCGAGTATTGGCTTGCTGCAGAGCGTTCATAGCTACGACGCGCATCGCTGGTTACGATCTCTTTATCAGGATCATATAAAGTTGACGCTGCGATTAAGAAAAACTAACATCATAATTTCCAGTCCTGCTTGGATCAGTTTAAATTGACGCGAGAGTTGATTCTAAATTTTAAATATCATCCTGGAAGATAGCTATTTTACATTCGGGTAAAGAAGTATTAACTTACAGTTACTTGGTTTCCACACAAAAACTTTAATACTTATGTTATTATTGATATGAAATCTCTTACTAAAAATATTATAGCACAGTGAGAAAATAGACCGCGCTTTTTTCACTCCTGCTTTAACTTATAGCTTTAAATAAAACTTTTGACTTAAAATTATTTGTTATTCGTTTCCTGATACGATATTACCTTTACTTTTTCAATAAGTTGTATCATTTAATGTTGAACAAATATATCAATTACATCCTGTTTGTAAAACTTCATAATTTTGCTATTTAATTAATTATTTAAACTATTTATATGTCCTAATCAAATTCATTATTTTTAAGAGCATGAAATGTAGTTTTCAAACACGTACCGTACCGAGAACACGTAAAGTCTGACCATTTGATTGCAAGCCTCTTTTTTCAATCATTAACTATTGTTTTATAAATTGTTACATTATTAATATTTTAAAACAACAAATTAACAATGCGAATATAATGAAAACTGTACTTAATTTTGCAAGATAAATAAAAACAAATCTATAATCGATATCTTTTATGAATATTATTCTTGACGATATGATATTAATTTTGTTAAACCTGTTTCCCACTTGTTTAATTCCATTCTTAATTACGTTTTTATGTGTAGTTATAATTGAAATAAACAGGCCAATAAATATTGAAGAATTATAGTTGAGCCAACGTCAAAAATGACCAGAATATGCCTAAAGCTAGCCATAAAAACAAACGAGTTTTTCAATAGGGATTATTATATTTGATGTATGACAAGGACGCTGCAATATAATCTGATGGTTAAGAGTGTTAAAAGTTACATATTTTTAGAAACGACAATAATTTGTTAGAAAATGTATTATATGAAATATGTGTATAATTTGCAGGCCCTCGGGATTTTTTAATGCATTAATCTAACTTTCGTAATATAATTTCCCCTAGTGTATGACACTCAACTCTACTAATTGCTTAATACAAATGAAAAAATCTTAAGTAAATATTGTCACGAAATATACACGTAAGTTTAGTTGACAAGATTTGTTCTTTTATATTATATATCAACAAAATTAATATAATAATTAAATAGTAATAATAATTATTATAATTTGCATTGTACAATATATATATGATATAAACAGAATTGTATTAATCCACAATGGCATATTTTTCAATACGTAAAGCAATGAAGTACACAATATTATCAGGAAGTGAATTGTATCCTTGGTAGCATTATTTGCTATTGTTTTACTTAGACTCTTAAAATATAATTTCCATACAGAGACTATCGATATTGTTGTAGCATTCGTTTCAGCTAAATTATTGTCAATTTGATTTAGATTTCGATGTTTATGTGGATTAAAATTTACAAGCAAACTTCAAAATGTTTTTTTTTTCAATAAAGTAATTTTTCTATAGATTTAAAGTGAACTGCAGGAACAGTTGTAAATTTTCCTCAATAAACTCAAGAGGAAAGATCAAATTATATTTCAAGTGTTTGAATCACGTTCTAATACAGCTGTTTGAGTTGGTCAATTGTGCATTTTTTATAATTACCTTTGTTTTCTATATTGGTTGATGATGTGTACGTTCAGTTTAAGTTGTAATCATAGCCAGCAATTAGATTAACAACGAGGTAACTCATCTATCATGTGACCGTTTGAAAACACAACTGCCGTGAAACTTGATAAAAAGCAATTAAACTTGTGCAAGGATTGTTTGAGAAAAAAAAAATTAAACGGGAAAATCGTTTGCGGAGTCGATATTCTGAAATATATGGCATTTAAAATAAGTTATTATAGTGTTGCTGGATCTCACTGAGCAATATAGTTATTATTAAAATCAAATAATATTTATTTTTGACACTTAAGTATTGCAATTCGATTTTCAAATATATATATAGGCATTATGGCTTCTTTCGGTAATTTACTTTTGCAAAGACGGTAACGCATTGAATATATATATATATATATATATATATATATATATATATATATATGATATATATAGACCTATATGATATATAATAAGCCTACATATAGGCCTAATATACATTTATATGCCTATATATAATATTATGTAGGCTTATATTATTATAAATAGGCCTATATTTTGGGCTAATTATACTGATAGGCTGTATTTTTGAATTCCTTATTGCCAAGACAAGTATACAGATTAAATTATGAACATTAATGGTAATTACTATTAGTGTTATAATTATTAATTTAATGAAAATTCATAGAAGACATTTCGTAGAATGTATTAATGTTTACATAATATCAGCACTGTTTATACACAGTGGAAAGAACTGATATGACAACTGAATAATGATATATTAGATGTTGGCCTATCTAAAGGTCGTTGTGATTGGCGAAAGTATTTTTAAGAGAGCGCACCTTACCGTATTTGGCCTATATCCATGAACCCTTGTGTATTGAAGGTACAAATAACAATTTAAACATTCCATATACAAATTTAAAACAGGTAAACCAAAATACTTAACATAAAAAGTAATGAAAATATAATGAAATCAACAAAAATAAATAATGAGTATTAACTCTTTAAATGTTGTGAAATAAGATTCCTTTCCGTTTTTTTTAAATATAAGGAAAGAATTGAAAACATTTGTTTAAATGCATTCAATAATGCTGAATGCATCCTCAACAACCTTTGATGTGATACGGTATTACAGTTGCATTGCGATAACAATCATTATAAAGCGCTCAAACTAAACAACGATAAATCATGAGAAATATCGGTTTCTTTTAATCTATCAATCAAGTGTTTTTAAAATGAACATTTGCCAAAGGCTTCGCAATTTATCAGATGTCAATAAAACTTTCTAGATTTTAAGTCACTTGTGAAATTTTAAGTTACTTATTTTAGGTAAAAATTATGAGGAAGGGGAAACGATCTGAAATATTGTTGTAATCCTGACTAAGTTTGTGGTTTTGTCACCTTTTAATATTGCAGTGGTCTAAGTCTTTAAAATATCAATTTCAATATAATCGTTATAGATATCTACTACGAACGGACTAGAAGTGTATGGTACGATATTTTTAATACTATTTCCAGTATTTACCATTTCTGTTTGCAAAAAAGAAGACTTCCAAATACATAATTTTATCCGTATTCTCATGCAAGAAATTATTAAGATACCAAGTCAATAATAATAATAATAATAATAATAATAATAATAATAATAATATTAATAATAATAATAATAATAATAATAATAATAATAATAATAACAATAATTGTATATTTATATAGAGCAATGTACATTGCCCTATACGTTTAAACAGAAATTATATAAGGCAACCGTGAAAATAAAATTATTAATAATAGCAGGCTCTTGTTGAGTCTGTTTACAAAAGATTGCACATGTATGTCAGACGGAACCTGAAACCTGAAAAGTATGTGTTGGCATGTTTTATCCAAAAGACAGAACTGACAGTAAGCGAACGGCATATGTGTGACAAAAACATCTCAAATGAAAGCAACAAAATCAATGCTGCATTCATTAAAAAAATATAGAATGAATGGAGAAGAAAATCTGCATTATCTAGGCTCTTCTGATTTGTTTTTATCGACCATAAAGTTGTTAAATAGACTTACTGTTGTCGAATCAGTAAAGTACTGTATTAAGATTTTATCCTCTGTAAAAATAGTAAGATGTACTTTATATCAAAAAGTCATGAACTCAAATATACTCTGTTCAGAAGCTATGGCATCAATATTTATCGCTAAAATTTTCCAAGAAATCCTTCATTCTGCTAATAAGCTCTATAGGCCTAATAACAGCTTGTTTGGAATGCTATTAAAATGCCGTGATATTGTAGCGCAAGTTCTATATATCTCTCAATGTTCTGCCTAGGTTTTAGAAATTTCACAGCAAGTTAATCAAGTTAAGTTATGATTATATTCAGATATTCAGTGGTAATAAACTGATTAACTCTGTAGTTTTAACACTACAAATGTGTTAGTCATTAGTTACTGTGAGTTCTACTAGCATGCCTACTTATCTGCGGATCAATATCGCATATCGTCTACAGGATGTTAGTGTGTTATTATTCATCACTTCTAAGTGATTAAATGTTATTGTTAAAATTTTGTTTACAAAGAAAAATTATATTAAATAAATTTATTTGTATTCAAGTAAATGTATTGAGGGCGCCCTAGCACCAAACTCGCTTTTCTCGTTTCTGTGTATTTTTAAATTTTTAACCCATTTATCTTTGAATTTTTAACCCCTTTTTTCGATTTTTTTAAATATTTCTTAAAGAGATTTTACATATTTAAAAAAAATTGAATTACTGTTTTAAATGGTTTTATAAGTGGTTTTATTTGTTTTTTCCTTGTATATGTTGATATTGACCAAATGAATGAATGAATGAATGAATGAAAAGGACTCCGGAAGAAAACATTTTTTTATAAAGTCATTTAAAGGACACTTTGAAAAAATATTCGGAAAAGACTAATAAAATACTGATTTTTTTTTTTTTTTTAAAGGTGAGAAAATTGAGTATTAATAGCCAAAATTATTATACTTTTTGTAATTATGTCTATTATTAATAATGATAATTGATATTACTTGGTCCAACGTGGTATAAATGAAATTGGGTGATTGATACTGTAAACTAAAAAAAATAATATCGAAATTCATTTATTAAAAAAAAAAGATAATAGGCCTTTTAGCAATATTAACATTATACTGATAATGATAGAGATAATGATGATCAAAATGTTTTGAAGATTATGATGTAATTGTACTAGTCTGGTTTCCATAAATCGCTATACACCGCCGACAACTTTCGGTGAAGCCGATTGGTCGGTCGAATCGGAACCGACCGATTGCGTCTGGAAAGCTACGTAGTATAACGGTTGTAGTGAGCAATATAGCAATTTTATGGAAATCAAGTTTTAGACAGTAGATCCCCTCTACCTTTATTTAGGTCTAGGCTTTGGGGATAATAAATATTACAGTGTGTTTGCATGGGGCATGCGATAAATCGTAACCTACCTCCATTTTGTCCTTCTGTTTTGGAACCATGTTTTAACTTGGGCGTCGGTCATTTTCAGTGCTTTCGCCAGTGATGCTCTTTCGGCTGATGCCAAGTATTTCTGCCTGTGAAAACGCTTCTCCAACTCACAGATCTGGAGTCTTGAGAACGAGGTTCGTGGTTTTTTTCTTTTCGGTGGAGTTCTGTTTTGGTATGGGTGACCTATCCGACGAGTTACTGATAAAGAGAGAATAAAATCAATTATAAATATTGTGACATATAATATCTGCCACTTATTGACTATTTTCGATAAGGAATTCTGGTCAATTAAAGAATAATTATTTTCTTTGATCTGAACGAAGCCGAACGAATAATAGGCCAAATATTCTATAGGCCTAGCAACTTTAAGATTGGCACTCGTATTCTGTATAGTATGAGCCCGATTTTTTTTCTGCAACACCACCACCCTGGGCTGTATGATTCTCACTAGCAACACCACACTAAGCTCTAACACGGCGGATTTTGCATAGTAACCGTAAGCAAAATCATCAACCTGATCTTTCGCTCGATTCTCCCTAGCCACACGGCGCCAGCTCTCTTTTTCAGAGTGTACATACAGTAGTAACAGTAGACTACTGCTGTGAGTCATGCGGAGGTACGAGGAGTAAAAACAACACCACAACATAGTAAAAATAATTTTAATATAATTAACAGTGTTAATGATAATAATTAAAATAAATGCTAGATACATACTGATACCGTTTTTGACAAGCTCTTGTAAAAAACCCATACATTAAAGAAATACAAAGAAATTAAATGCCATACTTATACTCGCTTTTGTATTTTATCTTTCTCTTGTCCTACCCAAATCGCCAATAATATTGTAACAATGTAAACTGATCCCATACAATTTAATCTTAAGGAATTAAAGAGCTATGAACGTTATGATCGATCCCATCATTCCTTTAACCATAAAATGATTGACACACAGATACTGACTGTCAATCCAATCGAAGAATAACAACATCAAAAATGAATTTATTCATTCATACATCTTTAATTCTGAATAAATCAGAAACAATGTCTCCGAATATAATATCAACAGTTTAAACTGCCATTAAGAACAAATGCATCATCCCAGTGTCAGTTCATTCGAGTCTCTCGCTCCAATATACAGCACTCAGCTAATAATGATAATAGGAAGATAAAATATGGAAAAATAGCTATTAATATTCATAGCCACAAAACCACCAGTTTAGCACTTATAGCTAAGACTATAAGGACATCATGCAAGCGTCACATTAAGAACATCATTTAACAAGCTTTTTGTGTCGAAGTTAATCCAATAAACTCAGCGAATACAGTATAAGCAGTCGTTAGATGTTCGGGCAAGGGTTAACGCGGGTTGATAATGAGCGCACGACCTAATATCATGAAGTCACATTATGTAAAACGAGCCAATAACCAATCGACATTACCGATAGCATCATTTGTATCGTTTACTGCTATAAATGTTATGTTATGTTATATCTTTTAAATGTTTGGTTGTATAATGCTTGAAAGATTCTCGTGTCTGGAAGTTAAAATTAACTTTTGGTTTCAATATAAAAAAACATTAGATAAGCCTATGAATTTAAGGTCTACCTTAATAAGCCCTATGAAGATTTATTTAACGAAAACTAATTTAAAACCCAATTGACATTTAAAACAACGCAAATAAATAATGCTAACCTTTCTATTATTATTATTATTATTATCATCATCATCATCATATTCATCATTTATGACGATAATAATAATTATTACCGTCATCATCATCATCCGTCATTATTGCTAGGCCTATTATGAAGACTATAATTGTTCTATGCGTCAAAAGTCTCCATCTGAGTGATAAGTTTCAGTTTAGTCGAAACGTCTCACCACTAGAAATACTAGGCACAATGTATTACATGATCTCAAAAGGTCTTTGTGAAGTTCAGTACTTCTGTGTCTCACATAATAGACCTAAATATATTTACTAAAACATGTATCATTGTAGTGTGTGTAGTGTAGTGTGTGTGTAGTGTGGTTTAGTGTGTATTATTATATCCATAAGTCCACATATACCATAATCAGGACAATATACACCTCTATACAGCATTGCTATCAATTAATATATATATATATATATATATATATATATATATATATATGTATACATACATATATTGCCAAATGTTGATAAATACAAGCCTAAATTTTATTCTATCCTATGTCATATATATTATATAATTCTAATTATAAGACACGAATAAATAGCCCATATTCCTGATATTTGTGGTATTGATTAACTCGTATGTTAATAATTATTGATTAAATTACATATTGATAGGCATGTATACTAAGTTATTGGCCTATATGAATTATAGTCAATGCATATAAATTATTTGAGTTAAGCAATATCCATTAATACATCTAGGTCTTAGTATGTAAATAGAAAATAAATGTAGACGATACGTATGTTGGTATTTTTCTTATCAATATTTACTTGAAAATGCAAAGGTTTTACATAACAATTGAATACACATTATTAATTATATATAATATTTTACCTATTGTTATTAGGCCTATCTATTATTATTATTATTATTATTATTTTAATTATTATTATATCATACTTTTAATATAATACATATTCTCCGTAGATCTCTTCACAAAGAGTACATATATCGGATAGTGCCTTTCTATATACATTATTAGTTTTAATTTTAATTGTCTTAGCCATCCTGTCACTGCAAACATGTTTGCAGTGACAGGATGGCTAAGACATTTAAAATTAAAACTAATAATTTAATATAATAATTATTGTTAATATTATTTAAAATAAATGCAATAAACATCATCATCGTCATCATCCGGCGATGATAGAGTTCTGTAGGCTTTGGATTTAGTGGAATTACATTACATATCTAACTTATCTTCGAATCTATGTCACCAGAAACAAATCAAATTAAAAAATTCGTTTTATACCCCATTCTTAAAAATAACAGGAAACCTTAAACGTTTACTAAATGTTTATCAAAAACATCTGATGCCGACTAGTGGCGCAACCGCAACAGAATTCGCAGCCCCGTCCACGGGACCGATTGCCATACGAGAGGCTGGAGGTGAAATATTGGCCTACGTAGGCTTATATAGGAGGACGGCCAATTCTTTATTAGATGTTAAATTAATTTTAATATTAGTGTCCGTTGGGATCCCCTATATTTAGTGTCCCGATGAATAAGTATTATCTATAAAAACAAATCTGAACCAGTATTTCCTCCCACAGTACTGCAATTGGTGTGCTGTTTTCCACATCTGTATTCGAATATTTTTGGTTTACGTAAAAAAAATAGATGGATAGCACTAAGATGATGATAGTCTAGCTAAAAACTGGGATTAAATGTATTAAAAGTATTGTTGATCTAAATAACCCTCACGCATCTACGAAGCTAAAAGTCAAACAATGACTTCATGAGAAAAAACCCTTTAGGCACACATCCATGATGTTATAGGCCTATAAATTACATGTGATTGTCTGATAGCCTTATAGTTTGTTTCATGTTATCAGTAAAACAATATGGTGCTATATCGAATATTTAGAGTTGGGGTGAATGGTAACCTCTCAGGAATTTTGCCTTTTCATTTTTAATGTTTGTTCAAATGGGTTCAGTATGCTAAAATAACATGTAGGAAAAAAGTGCAGTTTATTTTTCATGTCGTTGTATCTGCAGTAAATTACTTCAAACCCTTTTACTTCAACGAAAACATAAACGTACCATAAAAATAACTATTCATTTTCTGTATCACTTTACAGTTTTAGGCTATATTTTCTTAATATTATCCTTATGAATGCAAATGTTTATTTTTTTTCCTAAATCAAACGATTTATGTATTACCCTTTTTATTATTTCCTAATCCCATTTACGGAATATTATCCAAATATTCATAAACCGTTTAGTAGTAATAGACATTGTATTGTCGTTTTACTGTTAATGTGGCATTTAAGTATCGAGATAAAGGCTTGTTGATGCTACGTAAGACTTATAAACTCAGTAAACTTTCGCCTGATATACGACATGGTGTCCCTTCATACGATATGCAATTTTACGATATCTCAACATACCCGTAGATAGGTATGATATATAATACAACTCGGCATATGCTATGTGATTATCAAGTGATGATGGTAAACTTGTCTATGAATTTAATGAATTTGAATTAAGATATATATCTAACATTTTATGTATACTGTATATATATATATATATATATATATATATTTTATATATATATATATATATATATTAAACATAATAAAATGGCGCGTGTCCTGCTTCTA